CAAAATTCAGGGTTCAAGTCCTGGGTAATAAAGTGCAGGAACTCACCCAAGATCCACTGTTCCCACTCCCACCCCCAGAAAAAAATAATTATACGCTTGTATGCAGGGGCTGAGTAAGGGCACGGAACTAACGAAGGGGACAGGGGTTGAGGAAGGGGACAGGGACTGAGGAAAGGGACAGGGACTGAGGAAAGGGACAGGAGCTGAGGGAGGGGAACAGGGGCTGAGGGAGGGGACAGGGACTGAGGGGAGGGGACAGGGGCTGAGGGAAGGGACAGGGACTGAGGAAGGGACTGAGGAGGGGGACAGGGCCTGAGGAGGGGGCAGGGGCTGAGGAAGGGGACAGGGACTGAGGAGGGGTACAGGGACTGATGAGGGGTACCGGAACTGAGTAAGGGGACAGGGACTGAGGAAGAGGGACAGGGGCTGAGGAAGAGGGACAGGGACTGAGGAAGAGGGACAGGGGCTAAGGGGGACAGTGCTGAGGAAGAGGGACAGGAGCTTAGGAGGTGGGGCAGGGGCTGAGGAAGAGGACAAGGGCTGAGGAAGGGTACAGGGCCTGAGGAGGGGTACAGGGCCTGAGGAGGGGTACAGGAACTGAGTAAGGGGACCGGGACTGAGGAAGAGGGACAGAGGCTAAGGGGGGCAGGGCTAAGGAAGAGGGACAGGAGCTTGGGGGGGGCAGGGGCTGAGGAGGAGGGGGACAGGGCCTGAGGAGGGGATGAAACAGGTGTGGGACAGGATCTGGAGCCAGCAGCCAGTGGAGTCGGCCGGCCTCTCCTGATGATGTCAGGAGGAGGGGGCATGACATCGACTCCTCTTCAACCAGGACCGCTGGGGAGTCTGGGTGAAGAGTAGTGAAAGTCACGCCCCCTCCTCGTGACATCATCAGGAAAGGCTGGCCAACTCCACTGGCTACTGGCTGCAGGGAAAGAGGTGAGTTTAGAAATCTGAGTCCCCAGCCACAGGCAGGGACAGAGCCAGAGGCAGGGGATTCGGATTTGTGCTCCTCCCTGTTCTGGAGGCCGCTTGTGCCAGCCCTGGGTCCTGCAGGACTAGTAATGGGAACGGCGTTCCTGCTGTGGAAAAAGTGCAGGAATGCCGTTCCCACACATTCCTGCACGACTTGAGCCCTGCCAAAATTGGTTTAATTCCATGGTCGGATCACACCCCGATCACCTTTTCGCTACACCAACAATTCCCCACAAAGGGCTCAGGGTCTTGGAGGCTTAACGACACGCTACTGCATGACACATCCATAGTAGACCCGGTTCGCAAGGACCTAGTGAACTATCTTACCCTCAATCCTCCTAGCGACACACAAAGCGGCCATTAGAGGGAGTTTTATAAAAGCAGCTAGCTATGCAAAAAAACAAAGACTCAAGGCATACACAGACACGATTAAGGATCTTACAGACCTGACACACAAGAACAAATTCGATCCATCCCCTACACACATTGCCAAACTTCGATTCTTGCAGAATAAATTAGCAGAAATGGCTAAAACTACATATATGCTGCGCAAATACAAACATAAATTCTTTGCACAAGGCAACAGACCAAAAGCCCTTTTATGCCTCCCAATTACGGGCTGAATGGCTCATTCCAAAATAGCGCACATTATAGCTCCAGCAAAAGAAAAAATAGTGAACCCTCAGAAACTTGTTAATGAGTTCGCCCATTACTACAGCATGCATTATATACTTGGGAGACAATCCCACCACACACACCCCACATATTAGGGAAACGAGGCATTCCTAGGTTTAATTACTCTCCCCTGTCTTCTACCCGAAGAGGTCAATGAACTCACGGCACCTTTTAGCAACAAAGAAATAGTTGAGACCACAAAAAAAAAAGCACTGGGACCGGACGGCTATGCCAAAAAATACTACCAGACCTACGCTGACCTCTTATCTCCACACTTGACAAGTCTCTTAATTGTTATGTCAAAGGGACTATCCCCAAAGACTTGTTATTATCCCACATAGCCACCTTACCGAAACCAGGGAAGCCACCTACCATGTGCCCTAACTTCCGTCCTATCTCCCTCCTCAATTACAAATGGCTCCAGACAGAGGTGTCCCCTCTCCCCTTTATTATTTATTCTTTCATTAGAACCCTTGGCCCACAAAATCAGACATCACCCGGATATACGGGGAGTGAACATAGGGGAATGAATGAATATTGCCTCTCGATGTTCGCAGACGATATCGTAATAACATTGGAGCATCCACTCACCTCGGTGCCAGCGCTTCTTCACCTGCTCAAGGAAAGGGAGAGATCTCCTTGTCACATATCCTTCGTATCCATGTGGCAAAAATTTAGATAATTACCTAATTAGATAATTATCCAAAGATCAAGGGGACTGCCGCTTGTAGGTCTTCTGCCATGATGCCTGGCTTTTGTGACATGCCGGTGCACGCTGGCCGCTGCGAACCCACACAATTATATAGCCCCATGTCGGTCCACGGTAAAGACGACATCGACGTGCAGGTGACGTCATGCAAAAGACGCACACGCATGTTTTGGGTCAAGGGCTAGGTACAGCCAATTGGACCTGCAAGAGGGTTATTTAAACTCACTTATTCCTTAGCTCATTGCCCTGTCGTGGTTTCCCTTACATGGTTATCCAAGAGTGTATTCCTGATTGTGTTTTTCAGTTTTTTTACTTTGGCTTCGTTTTGACTTACCAGATTTCTGGTACCCTTGACTTTTGGCTTTTCCTAATCGCTGTGTCTCGTTCTGTGTCCCTGACCTCGGCTAGTTTTCTGACTATTCTCAGGTACGTTAAGTCTGGCTATTTTAAGGCCAGGTAAGATGTTATCCTTAGTCCTAGGTGTGATACTATTCTGCGTGCTGGATCAATATAATCCTGACACTCCTATTACAAACTAAACCAAGTAAAGACTCCCCCCCCAAAAAAAAATACAGAGTAAAATTCCAAAAGTTAACTGCAAAGAATTTTCCTCCTTACGGTCCCTCATTACCTAAATCTAAAAAAAAAAATTAAAAAAAAAAGAGTAAGATTGTTGATGGATACCTAAAAATAAAATCATATAAAATTACACAATTTTAAATGTCATTATTTGTTGATTCTTTAAAGAAATATTTAGTGACAAACGTTTTAGGGATAACTGGTTAATCCCTCTCTCTCAGCGTCTGAAATATTAGCATAGAAGCCGAAATGCAATTTTTGTCACATACTATAGGTTGGTACCTCTGTTTACATGTACTTTAAAGAGACTGGATGGCATTTCTGAGCATTTCTCCACCCAACCAGTACTTAACAAAACTTTACGTAAGAATGCATTTGTTTTTATTTTTATAATATATATGGAGGAAAATGGGAAAGAGTAAAAAGAAGTGACTTAGACACTCATTGGCTTTGGTAATATATTAATTTCTAATACAATATCTAAATAAGAAAGAATTTCACTTTTAACCCTGGCAAATTATCATCATATGCTCAGCTCCTGCCTTGCCTCAATTTAAACTTAAAAGTGCAATACAATCTGTGTTGTTTACCTCTCAAAAAACAGAGAATTACAGGGACACTTTAAATAATTTACTTTTCTGTTAGATAATCATAGCATTTCAACTGGAAAAAGAGGGCCACTTATTTTCGAGGCGTTAGTGGGGATGACACATTACTGGGAGTATTATTACTGTGGAGCTCTGTTATAAACTCAGACACATTACTGGGAGTATTATTGCTGTGTAGCTCTGTTATACACTCAGACACATTACTGGGAGTATTATTGCTGTGGAGCTCTGTTATACACTCAGACACATTACTGGGAGTATTATTGCTGTGGAGCTCTGTTATACACTCAGACACATTACTGGGAGTATTATTGCTGTGGAGCTCTGTTATACGCTCAGACACATTACTGGGAGTTATTGCTGTGGAGCTCTGTTATACACGCAGATACATTACTGGGAGTATATTGCTGTGGAGCTCTGTTATACACTCAGACACATTACTGGGAGTATTATTGCAGTGGAGCTCTGTTTTACACTCAGACACATTACTGGGAGTATTATTGCTGTGGAGCTCTGTTATACACTCAGACACATTATTGGGAGTATTATTGCTGTGGAGCTCTGTTATACACTCAGACACATTACTGGGAGTATTATTGCTGTGGAGCTCTGTTATACACTCAGACACATTATTGGGAGTATTATTGCTGTGGAACTCTGTTATACACTCAGACACATTACTGGGAGTATTATTGCTGCGGAGCTCTGTTATACACTCAGACACATTACTGGGAGTATTATTGCTGTGGAGCTCTGTTATACACTCAGACACATTACTGGGAGTATTATTGCTGTGGAGCTCTGTTATACACTCAGACACATTACTGGGAGTATTATTGCTGTGGAGCTCTGTTATACACTCAGACACACCAATAATATGGAGAATATTCCTGATTATATTGCCTTATATTTCTTATATTTAAAATATTTCTATGAAGCACTGTAGTAAAACAGCCTTCAAATTAGTAATTATTTTGAATTTATTTTCTAACTGTGAACACTGAGATCGCCTATTATTGAAATACAACAACAGTATTTTCAGGATTCCACCCTCCACAAATATTGTCCCAGTGATGAAAGAATATCTCAGTATGAGTTGCAATACTTCCTGCTCAGCTGCAGAAATCGTTTCAAATCCCGATTGGAAGGAATTGCTGAAGACGTTCAGACCAAGCACCTTGTACACAGAAAGTCTATTTGTTATTAAAAGCACAGAGAATGACGAGGTTTTAAGGCAGATGATGGAGAGAACAATTTTATTCATTTTTTGTGGTGTTTTTAGAACACCTGGTTCTGTTCAACAGACTATGAATTACAAAAAAATAATAATTTTTGCTAGATTTGCAGTGGGTTTTAAAGAGCACCTGTCATAATCATTGTGCGGAGTTTGTTTCATCAGGGAACACACCCAACCTTTTTTTTCAAAGAAGAGATAACCATGTATCACATTGTAACACCACAATAAATCCCATAGTTTTACCTGACTTGTGACCTTATGCCATTAAAAATCATTAAAACACACGGGGAAGGCAACCTAATCCACCCCTTGCACACACCTATACCTGTCATTAAATCAACTGGACGGATGTGTACAGCTTATGGCATATACTAATAAAGTGCTAAAACGGTTGGCAAATAACTCCTTTATTATTTCAGCAAATTATGTGATATGTAATGCAATACTGAGAAGTAATTAAAGCACAGTTCATTTTTACACAACGTTGATCCATTTTAAATGTTTGCTTCCTTCATTCTCGTCCTCACTCCACCAAAGCCTGTGTATATATTTTGTTAGCCTAACTGGAAACAAATAAATAGATTTTTTTTGTATGAGAGATATGAGAGAGAGAGATGTAAATGTCTTATTATTGCAAATTATGGTATTTTATTCCTTTTCAAAAATATTGTTTTTAACATTTTTTCCTGATATGTCCTTGGGCACTGCCTGTGACATCATCCACACAACAGAAATTCAACTCGAGTTGCGTCGAGGCAACATTCTCAGTTATGTAAATAAATATCTCCTAGAAAATGTTGAATATTTTGCATTGAAGAATAATATATTGTTTTTATTACATACCTTTATTGTTAGATTCTACCATAAATTATCCTTATATAATATTTCAGTCTAAAAGCAGTTTGGCTTAGCTATACAATTAGCACTGATCATTCGAAGCATAGTCATCACCGGTATCTAAAGATTAGGCAATAGAGTAAGAAAAAGGATGTCTTTGGGTTAAAAGAAAGGGCTATTTTAAAATAATACCTAATAGAATTGCTACTGTTGGCTCACGACCTGTTTGGACAAAATATCAATTAATGGAACACCTGGATTTGGTGATTCCAATTTATTGTGCCACCAACTCGTGGGTCGTTGGTCTCCGTGGTTATCACCCAATAACTTCACATTTTTCTTGTGTTGAGCTTGAACATGCTTGCGGATTGGATTTAGTCTTTGGTAAAGAGCGTCTGTGCCGTGAGGACACATTAAGGTTCAATCGTGACACTGCTGTTGCTCACTCGTACGCCATACCAACCCTTCCAGAAAACAGAATCTTGCCCGCCGTGTTGGAATCTGACAAATCGCACACCAGGGCCATATCCAGAGAAAGTATGGCTGATCTAAAACGTGGAAGGAACCAGAGAGATGTCTAGGCATTAATACCATCCTCTAAAATAGCATACCTATTATCTCAAGCCATTAAGCCAATATCTAACTACCACCACAGATAAGAATTTATCTTTTTCAGTTCCAGTAGGGATTTCAATTAAACATGGTTTATTTATTTTAGTGTGTGACTCTAATGCAGAGAATAGAATTCTATTTATACATTTGACTACTTTTTTAATATTATAATAAAGATTAGGGTTTATGTTTTTGTAATAATCAAAGAATCCATTTAATACCTTACTTTCAATTCATAAAAATTCCTCACACAGACTCCTCCATGATCTTTGAAGCATTTTTCACTCACCTGGTTCCAGCTGCCATCGTTGTCCTGAGGAATGGTGATAATTTCACTTTTATGCTCTGTGATGATATCACTGGTATCAGACAGGAGCTGGACAGAGAGTTCATAGAGGCATCCGGAGTCAGATCTAGCGGCATACCTGCAGTGGTGGGACAAAGTTCTAATCGTGATGCAATCTCCATGGAAACAAACAAGTTCATAGAAAACACTCCATTGGACTTTTCAGTACTGTGTAAAGGGATATTCTTTGTGAAATACTGATCAAGACTGCGTTGGAGTTTCACTGAGCTTCCATAGAGGTCAGTGTTTTACTATAAGAACTTTAGATGTTTGAGAAGACATTATTGTCCTTACTTTGGGGTCAGTGTTTTTTGTTTTGTCACTTAATATTTTAATGCCACAGAAATTAGCCCAGAATCAAACCTCCACTACTACTGGGCAGCAGCAATGGCCCAAATATAAACAATACAAAACCCAAAAAGTTCCCTGCGCACTATCCAAAATGTCAACATACATTTAAATAAGAGTGGCATTAAAGTGTAAGCTCACCAGCCAATGGCAAAGCAAACCTCTTAAGTGAGTAGAAGTCTAACAATTCACCTTGCTGCTTTTAATTAAAAGACAAAATCTCTACATCCAAGCCCCCCCGCCCCCCAAAATAAAAAAAATGAACACTTTATACAAAGCATTAAAAAGAACGAGTTAATTTGAGCCTTGATTGTCCATTTAACAGGAATCTGTCAGAGTCTGAATTCACGCCATCTGTACTCTCCACTTTTGTTTTACAGAGCAAGGACTTTTATTCAAATAAGCATTTTACTGGAAGGGGCAAGACTGCAAGGTGTGAGCAAGAATACACTGTAACCTACTCCCACCATGAGTGACCCTAAATAATGGATTGAAAAAACTTAACAGTATCTAAAGGATATAACCACTGATCTCTGTGCCCAACAAGATGGTGAAAAACCCTATGTACGTACCAGTCGCTGACCACAATGTTCGGCTGTTCATTGTCCATCACTTCCTCCCAGTATCCTTCTTTCAGGAGATCTATGAGCTGAGATTTACTGCACCACCTGCAATTACAGGGTCTGTCAGTAAAACCGTATCTTTATAGAAACATAGAACGTAGTAAATATGCCCACAATAAAAACTTGCATCCATTTAATTGTGCATGTTTCATTATATCTAAAAACAGCTTTCAAAACCTGCAGTTCTCTTGTCTGCTGCCTTTGCAAGCCCTCCCCTTCTAACCCTGCCCAGACTTTCTGTGGCTGTCCAATCACAGACTTCCCAATGCAGCTCAATGAGAAGTCTTGGTAAGTCAGATGCTCTGAGCAATTGCTGCCTCTTGAGGTCAGCTGCATTGAGTTAACGAAACCAGGGAGTACCAATACCTGTTGTCTGCTTGAAAGCCAAAGGGGTGTTACCAGGTTGATATATAAAAGTGTCCATTTCTATTGAAATCTGCACTTTTTGCAAAATGAAAAGAGACACATTCTTCACACATAAAACTTTTCACCAAGCTAAAGTTGTTGAGAGGTCTGGAGTGACCCTTTAAGTGAGCAGTGAATATTTTCATCATTTGTAAACCCCCTGCTAGGATATGCTGACTTAATAAAAAAGGAAGTCAAGTTAAGAGAAAATCAAAACATTTTTCCCCTTTAGGTGTATTTTAGTTATTTTCCTAAGTAAAGGTACCATCACCATTACCAGTAATACTCATTAAAGGGAGAATCATGGTAAGGACCACACACACACTTTTTTGAGAAACAGTATTGTAATGGTCATAGAGCTATTCTGAGTTTAGTTTTTCCAGGTTGAATACAATTGCACAAGATATTGTAGAAATGGAAATTCTGCGTTATAAGTGTGGCTGAAGAGGATAAGGGCTACGGATGACAGGGAGCACGTGGGTTCTTGTTCAGCCTCTCCAAAATGGTTTGGTTGCACTACAACCAATTCAATGTGTTGTAATCATTATGGGTCATTTAGATACAGAGTATCTAGCTGTGAGTAGAATATGAGTATCTAGATTTGAGAGACTATTTTTGTATATGTGTTAAACTTACTCAAAAGATGAGGCAAAGTATTTCTGGATTCCTTCGATAGGAAAGTCCTGCCCACTGTCTCCCGGAAGATCTTCAATATTCCAGCCATCTCCTCCATTTTGTAAATCGTTCCAGAACTCATATTCCTCTGTAAATCACATGGAGTCATTGAAGGTATTTTAGAAAACAGTGACCTAGATTTAATAAGCTGCCTATATATATTGAGTAAAACCTTTACTGAAATTCCACCACAGTCAAAAGATGTATATTTCGACTAATTTGTCTCATTTGTGCATTGTAAATAGCAAAATGGCATAGCTATTAATTAATGCTATTCCGTCTCTCTTTGTGACGGCCCATTAGCTATCACTTGTGACACATGGTGGGAAAATGTTTCTTCTCGTGCAATATTCGATGCTTATTGCATCTCCAAGATTGGTGGAGGGTTTCACGGATCTTTCATCGCCGAGCCGCTGACATGTTACCTGAGGGGAAGTGTTTGTAAAACCTGTGATGACCCCAAAACTGATAGATCTACTTTAATATCAAAGTATACATTCATTTAAGCAGAGAATTTACATGTTTCAGTGATAAGAGTCATATTGAAAATAACCTCCAGTTTGGCCATCTACGCTATGCTATCCTAAAATGTGAACTTTCCTGGCCAGTTCTTGTTAATGATGTCATTAGACCCTGGCCACAGTTTTCAACTAAGAGTCACAATAAATAGTATTGCGATAAATGTTTGGCACAGGCGCTAAGCAGTTCCCTATCTCACATATGGCTCTGAATGTACTATTATTGTTATGTCACCTTCCCCACAGGGGTTCTTGATGAGGTTTGTCTTCCTTTTGTTCAGGAAATAAACAGATTTCCAGTTCTCCGTCTCCGTCTCCCTCACAGCCTCAGTAAAACCCTCTTGGTGACACTTAATTTGCCAAACATCAGCCCCATCCACGATATTTTTCCACTGGTTGCACACCAAACGGCACACAAGGATTAACTCTTCGGCAGGCAGTCCAGCCAGGATGCGGGCTAGAACGTCGTCTGGGATGGTCTCCATCGATTTTCCAGGAGCTTTATAAAAACATTAAATGTTACCATTTCCAGAAGGATACATAATGAAGAGAAAACACAGCAATACATGTTGGCTCTATATCAAAACAGAAGACATATTAAAACCAGATAAATAGAGAGGGCTGTCTCGGGTCCTTAAACCAAGTTGTTTTTTTTCATAAGACAAGGCACCAAATGTCCTGAGGCCCATAGCTAGTGTGTTTACATGCTGAAAGTTTTTTTGGGAAAGTACAGAGCGGGAGGAGAGGAGTTAAGTAGGTGAGCTGGCAAAGTGAATATTTAAACTAGTTGGATAATTGATTTTTAACATAATGCATTTTTACACTTTAATCAAATAATGATCACACAAGTGCAAACTCTCAGGGTTTTCTTACGGCAAAAAACAAAAGCGTACATTATTGAAAATTACAAAATTAATGGGAAAATATGCTTTTTTTTTGGAAAAATGATCCATTTCAGCTATAGTCAGATCTTGGCTATATTAGCAATAATTTGGAAATTCACAGCAATTCAGCTCTGTGATGACATAATTGCACAGAATGACATCATCTTTAGATTGACAAATCGTTGTTTGAGTTGGGATGTCCTGTTTTTGGACGCCTGTGCTCAAATCCGTACACAGCTTCACTACGGGTATTATTTGTTAAATTATTATTGATGGGATTTTTAACTGAGCTGAGGTGGAGAGTTGATCTGATTCGGCTGTGTTTTAGAGTGTTCCCATGGTATTGTCGGTTATCTAGAATTCACAGTATAATGAATTGTGGTGAATTGAGGCCGAAAAAGAGCTGAAATCGAGATCTTTTTCCAGCTTGCTTATTTTGCATTCAGTTTTCAGTTTAGATGTCAGTTTCACACATTTCGCTGTGTAGTGAATAAACTAGACTATATTATTTTATTCTAAGAAATCACCCAGAGACGTGAAGGTATCTGAAAAGAAGAGACATCCTACTCGCAAGCAGCCTGCCCCTGCTGTGGACTGCAACTCCCACAATCCTCTGCTGTGCTTCTAAATTTGGAATACAGGTGAGGAATAAACGCAATGAATTGCAATAAGCAGACAATAAACTATACAAGTTATGAGTGGAAACATTTTCCCAGGCGACTATTGGCCCAATTTTTGCAAATTCTATTTCTCATTCATCACAATTCACTGTTTAATCAATAAACCCTTAAATATCTTTTAATCAGCTAACAATAGTAGAAAGCCAAATATTCAATGATTTCACTTTAAAAACTGACTTTTATAAAAGTTGCTTTAAAAAACCCACCAGTGAAAAAGGAAGATGTAATAATGACGCTTCCGTCCCAAAACTGTATCATCATTAAAACAAAACATGGCATTAAAAAGGATATCTGGATAATGTAGTGTTAAGGAGTGTCTGGCTAGGAATCATGGGAATTACAGTCAGATGACCTAAGCCTGGTAACCATTTAACCCTAAGCCCCCCCAATACGTTCCTTATAACATTAAACATATCCCAGGGGTGCCCAAATGGTAGATCTCCAGATATTAAGGAACTACAGATCCCATGATGCTTTGCATGCCTTTGGAATGCCTTTAGAATGACAAAGCATCATCTGAGGATCTAGATTTGCCCTATCCCTACCGCCCTCTAGCTTTACCTCAGGGGTAGGCAACACTCCAGGTATTGTGGACTACATCTGGCAAAGCATCAGGGAAGATGAAGTCCACAACTTCTGGAGTGCAGAAGGCTACCTACCCCTACTGTACACCACCCCAACCCTAAATTGCTAGCCGAACCCCAACCTCCTCCTCCAACTCTAACTTAACCTTATCTGAGTCCTTTTTAATGACATCTCACTCTGTACCTTCGATGCTTATTATTGAGTCATCTTGTATATCAGGGACATTTGAAACATGCCTTTTTAAATAGAACATTTTACATTTCTCCAAATTCAAATTATAGTTAATTGCTAAAACACAAATTATATAAGCAATCACATATTCACTCTTCCCCTTTCCCCAAATAACCAGCCATGAGCATGTCGCACAGATAAATCACAACATCCTGCAAGATCCATGCGTCTGCATTGTCGGTGCATTTAATGCATGCAGAGCCTCACCGAGAACAGTCAGGAAATAGATGATCCGATGCAAAGAGAGAGAATGGCTCCCGTCACCTCTGCCTGAGCCTGGGATTCTGTGCTTCCTCTACATCTGTAGGGTCTGGCTGCCACATGCAGACTGTCAGTACAGCAACCACTGCCAGCCTCCTCCTTACATCATCCTGCAGTCAGTGCATCTGCATGGGTGAGGCAGCATGATTCTACAGCTCTGGGGCATTGCTAAGCTGGCATTGCTGGGAGTTAAAAGTGTGGATAAACGACATGTCAGAACTGCTGAGATTAGCCCCGAGAAAACAGCCTGACAAAAAGATACACTGTTTAAAAATCTAAACAGCTTATTCTTCATATAAAAAGGTTTTATAACTAGTTTTGTAGCTCTGTAAAACTTTATCGTCTTATCCAGAACCCTAAAGAATGTTTATTGAACAAACTCCACATTTTAGTGCCTTAAAATCTAGACCATCGGTCGTCAACCTGGTCCCTACCGCCCACTAGTGGGCGTTTCAGGATTCCAGGTGGGCGGTAGGGATTTCCTCATTTGGAGAGATTGGGTGGGCGGGTGGGTGCGAGTCCAAGGGGTCCATCGGGTGGCCCATGCTGTCAGGGCCACCCGATGGATGTGGATTGAGAGGGGTCAGCGCTGGGTACTTTAACAGCGCGACCAGGCCCCCTGTGATTACATCACTAAGCTGGGAGGAAGTGACTGACTGCACTTCACTCCTCCCAGCTAACACTGAGTGCCGCGCTAGAGGAAGACCAGTGAGTCAGAGTGGGAACTCTGACTCCCATCCACCTGAGCCACCACTGGACCCCAGGGAATGTCACCCTCCTGCACCTTAAAGGTAGGAAACAGGAGGGTGACTTAAATATAATGTGTGTGTTTGTTTGTGTGTGTGTGTGTGTCTTAGTATGTATGTCGTGTGTGTGTTTGTGTGTGACTTTGTATGTATGTCTTGTGTGTGTGTCTGTGTCTTTGTATGTGTGTCTTATGTATGTGTGTATGTGTGTCTTGTCTTTGTATGTATGTGTTGTGTGTGTCTTGTCTTTGTATGTATGTGTGTCTTATGTATGTGTATGTATGTGTGTCTTGTGTCTGTGTGTATGTGTATGTGTCTTTGTATGTATGTCTTGTGTGTGTGTCTGTGTGTATGTTTGTATGTATGTGTTGTGTGTGTGTATGTGTGCCTGTCTGTTTGTATGTATGTATGTGTGTGCCTGTCTGTTTGTATGTATGTGTCTTTGTATGTGTGTCTTGTGTGTGTGCCTGTCTGTTAAAGTGGGCTATAGTAAGTGGGCTACCTAGCTCAGCCTTCCTACTGGGCATTACTATAAGGAAGGTTAAAAAATAGAAAAAAGGGGGGGAAAAAGGTGGGGAGGGGAATTGAGGAGGAAGAGGAGGGGAGCTGACGCACAGATGAGAAGTCATATTATGCGCAAACAGAAAAGTCGTCTGAATATCACCGAAAGAGGAGACCTTCGTTTGTTCCTTACGAAAATCGAACCAGATATCAAATATTTAGTCTCGCAGCATCAACCTCAAGGATCTCATTAATCACTAGTAAAGGTAATTTCAATTTACTTTATTGTTTTCTCATTAAACTTTATAAAGTTAAAAACATTATAAACATGCATTAAGTAGAAATAAAAAGATAAATGTACGTACATTTATTTTTTTTAAAACGCCCTCCTTTCTAAAAAATAATCTGCACTTGCGCGAAAACTGGTGGACGGTAAGGAAATGTTTCAATCAAGAAAGCTGCATTAGTGGGCGGTAGGTAGAAAAAGGTTGACTACCCCTGATCTAAACAGGAAATATTTGTGCAGAAATAACTGTGAGATTGTGCAATTCAGTTGTAGTTATCGATTGGCTATTTTATCCGAAATGTTGCCATTTTTCTATTTGCTGGTAATTTTGAAGCCTACGAAATGGAGTATGCAATGGAGAGCTGCTTGTTCGTTCAGAAAAACCCTGGATCACAATGCGCTCTCTCAAGGTGAACATCTAAACGAATCCCCAGAGAATAAAAATTGGTCCATGTCAGCACTGTGCCTGTTTGGAAAAATGTTACTTGTCATATGTATCCCCAAAAAATCCAATAAAGCCAAAATGGATCTTTTTTCACCCATTCCTAATGGTGAGCAACTGCAGATTCTATCTGGGCTGCTTATAGAAACACGGGGTAAGCAGTATTTGTTAGGCACATGCTCCATAAGTAACAATAAAGCGGGGCGCAAAAGGAGAGAGAAAAGACAAAAAAACAGGCACATTCTAAAATGCTGGACTACATCGGTTCAATTGGTGGATATATCGCATTAAAGGGATACAAAGCTTTATTCCTGGTACTATCGCTCTCCCTGTCTCCCCTTATCCCTCACGCCCCCACAGCCAGGTAAATAAAGGGTTAAACCTGGGTAAACACTCTGCCCTTATGGATTCCCGCAATGAGCGGGCGCTAATGCACATGCACAGCAAATGCCTCCCCATAGGAAAGCATTGAATCAATGTTTTCCTGTGGCGGAAAATCTGATGCTGGATGTCCTCATGTAGTGTGTGAGGATGTCCAGTGTCAGATACTGGAGCAAAGGTCCATTTCCATTCAGGAAGCCCTTTAGTGGCTTTGTAATTTTCTTGTAATTGTCCTGTTTATAGTAAAATCTCCCCTCTCATAATATTGTAAAGCGCTACGGAATATGCTGGCGCTATATAAATGGCAATAATAATAATAGGGGCAGCAATGCTAAAATAAAAAATCTCTAACCTACATACAAGTAACAATAAAAGTGGGAAGAAGACCTTCCTATGTGATCCAATACAATATTACACCAATATAGTGTGCAGATAAAGTTCATATAGCTATAAGCAAGTCTTATAATGTTCTCCTGGTTTATCTCCTCCAGATGTAGAGCATCTTATGAAATGTTTTACCGACATGTCTTCCTGACAGCCGCTATAGGCGCTTCTGCGACGCTGGATGCGAAAATCGCATCCAGCGTGCAGAACGTCCATTGGAAAGCATTGAGAAATGCATGTGCATTCCACTCCACTCGGGAGCTGGTGTCGGTGGGGAAGGAGAGGTCACGGCGCTGGATTAAGGTAAGCTGCTGAAGGGGTCTTCAGTGTCACAGGAGCGGGACCCTGAGGGTGAGGGTCCCCCAAGGATGACATAGTGTCAGGAAAACGGGTTTGATTTCCTGACACTATAGTGATCCTTTAAATTTTCTTTATATAGAGTCGCATCAAAACAATTCCACCAAAAGATTAAAATACTTTCACAAGGTACAGTACATTCTGCTGTAGTTATCACGTGTCAGTGTTTCTTACTGGGGCGGCCATCTTGGAAATGTATAGAATAACAATTGTCAAACAGTCATATCACCAAAGTGTAAGTTATGAGAAATCCAAAGTGATTTCAATGTGAATATTACATCTAGTCCAAAATAGATTAGTTAAAAAACCCACAGCTGAATTGAAGATTTTTCTAATTTGGCAACTTTGGCTGCAATTTGAAATTCACTTTGATCTGCAAGTAATTGGCACATTAGTGGAAAACCAATTTAGAGATTGGCAAGCGTGAACCCAGGACAGGAGGAGTCAGGTAGGTACATGGTCAGACAAGGGGAATGTCTGGGGCTCAATTGACATACCGCCTTACGGCCATGTTTTCTCCAACCCACCATGACCTGCATATTTCACGCTGCAATAAGGACTGTTTGATAGCACTCATTGTACAGTGAATTACAGCGTTGATTTCATAAAGAAGACAAAAACGTGGGACTGTCCTAGCACAATTGGGACTGCCGACAGCTATGCCCTATCAGTGACTATTATTAATTTTAAAAAAAAACTAAAATGGCTGCCGAGAGCACGTGATGACAGCAAACAGTCAGCGTCTGTGATTAACTGTACAAAGCAGCTCCCAGTTTTATTCTTGGAACTTTCTGTATGATATTCTGTGTCCAACATGCCCTATAAAAATAGTGAAACATATGTTTACATTTTAGTTTTTTTTTTAATATCGAACAGATTTAAACATTATCAATGCAGATTTTTTAATTGTAAGATTATATAACAGAGATTCTTTGTGCTGATAGCGCCCTTGTAAGCTCCTTGAAGAGGTTGTGACGTAAGGAGCTCCCCTGTCTCTACCTCCAGTTTCCCTGTATAACAGAGAGTTATGGGATATGTAGTTTAAACCCGGCTGCAGGTTCACTCCTCAATTAGGAACGGCTTCAGAAACTGATCGCAGCCATAATGCGCTATAGGGGATTAGCCTGCTTTACAAAACCAGTTTTGTCAATCAGGTTGTGTGCAGGGTTCCCGTGGCGCTCTGCCGCACAAGAGAGAACACAGCGTGCACACGCCACGCAAACAATTTGCACAGATTCTGCAAAGGACAGAGCAAAACGTCTCCCAAATCTGCACCAGATTTATAAAGGCAGTGACACCCTGGGAAAACAGGCAGGGATCGGGATATTCTCTGCAATATAATCTTCTCACTTTATTGTAGTCTGGAAATCTTGTATAAATAAAAATTATTACAAAAAAAAAACGGCAAAGGAAGGGATGTGTGAAATGGTGTGCCGGAAAGTATTAAAGGATCACTATAGGGTCAGGAACACAAACATGTATTCCTGACCCTATAGTGTTAAAAAAAAAACCATCTAGCCCCCTGGGCCCCTCATGCCTCCATAAATATAGCAACATATTACTGTATTCAAGCCTGAAGCTGTAATTCTGCATGCTGTTTGTCTCAGAAAAACAAGCAGTCTGCTGACATCATCAGAAGTGGTGGCCTGATCCAATCACAGTGCTTCTCCATAGGATTGGGTGAGACTGACAAAGAGGCAGATCAGGGGCAGAGCCAGCACGATTCAAACACAGCCCTGGCCAATCAGCATCTCCTCTTAGAGATACATTGAATCAATGAATCTCTATGAGGAAAGTTCAGTGTCTGCATGCAAAGGGAGGAGATACTGAATGTTTGGATGCATTTTAGGCAGCCATCACCCAGGAAGGATCTCTAACAGCCATCTGAGGAGTGGCCAGTGAAGTTATCACTAGGCTGTAATGTAAACACTGCATTTTCTCTGAAAAGACAGTGTTTACAGCAAAAAGCCTGAAGGTAATGATTCTACTCACCAGAACAAATTCAATAAGCTGTAGTTGTTCTGGTGACTATAGTGTCCCTTTAATTATTAGAAATCATTAAAAATACAACTATGGATTTATGTTCAAAGTTGACTCGGATGCTTTTCTTTTGCCTTAACTACTTGTGTAAAACCAGATCTATGAGTTACAGTTTCTGCTGCACATATCTAAATTCACAGAGAATATATTAAAAACAACTTAATATA